GTATATTGTGTTAAGATATTTTCCATAATAAGAAAGCTTGAATTTTGTGGCATGAACTTTGGTTTTGGATTTAGAATCTAAAGACTTGGATTGAATCTTAACTCTGCACATAGTATGTGACTTTGAGCAAGTTATTATTATTATTATTTTTTAAAATCTATGAAGATTAGTTTCCTTATCTAGAAAATGGAAGTATTAACACCAACCTCATAGGGTACTTGTGAGGATTACATTAAATAACATTTGTGCAAGTGTCTAACACATTATAGGATCTTAGTATTAAGATGAACAATAGGGATTAAAACATCCAAGTTGCCTAATAAAAATACATTACCTAAAAAAACTCACTGCCGTCGAGTCGATTCCAACTCATAGTGACCCCTCCTTGGGGACAATACAATACCTGTACATTTGGCTTAGTTAAGGTTTTGACACCTTTGTTAAACAAGATGGAATTGGGGGGAAAAAACAGAAACCAGTAATTGATATGATGGAGCATTGTTTAGAATGTACACCTTCTGAGAGGCTATACTCAAAGTCCTTACCATGAGTTTTTACCTCTTTTTTTCTTAACTGTGGCCTCTATGCAATTGTATTCGGAGACAGAGCCCTTTATGCATACAGATATTTTCCCAATAGATCCCACACTCAGTTCACTCAGAGGTTCTGGTCTTGAGACTTGATCTGTGTGGAGCTGAGAACCTTGCTGTGAGGAGCACTTGCTTGCTTTCCATTTGGCTGGAGAGGCCACATATTCTGGGAGCCTCTGATCTCATAGATCAAAAAATAGCCTGCGTTTATACTCTATATTACATTTGCTGAGCCTCTCACAGCTTCACATTAGTTAAGAGCCTTGATTGCTCCCTTAGGACATTCTTCCATGATACCTCAGAGCAGCTACTTAGGCTTTTTTGCAGGTTTTGCTTGGTTCTTCTGCCTAATTCACACACAGATACGTTTGAGGGTGAAGTTCACATTTTATCCAATATTAGGAAGTTATTGAAGCTTTTGGGGCACCTCAAGCACAGCCACTACTCCTCTGTCAGTGGAGGCTTGCATGTTGCTGTGATGCTGAACAGGTTTCAGTGGAATTTCCAGACTAAGATTGACAAAGAAGAAAGGCCCGGTGATGTACTGCTGAAAATCAGCCAATGAAAACCCTGTGGAAACAGGGGTGGGAAGGTGACTGGGACTACACCCACAAATGCACATGGGTTTGACAGAGGATATTTCTACATATATATTTGTATGTGCTACAAACATATCCATGAAAATAGTAGAGCATACAGTTATGAAAACTTTTTAACCATAACCAGAAATGAGTCACTGGGCATGGGGGCTCACGGGGACACTGAGGGACAACTATTGGTCTTTCTGTATCTGGAGCAAAAAGAATAGTGAAGAAAGTTAAAGGCATGAGGAAACAATTAGTCCAGAAGACTAATGGATCATGTGAACCCCAGCTCCCATGACCCTGAGACCAGAAGAACTAGATGGTGCCTGGCTGCTACTGCTGATCACTCTGAAAGGATCACAATAGGAGTTCATGGATAGGGTGGGAGAAAAATGTGGAACAAAACTCAAAATCATAAAGAAGACCAGGCTTACCGGTCTGTTAGAGACTGGTGAAACCCTGAGACTATGGCCACTCGTCACCATTTGGGCCTGAAATTGAACTCATTCCTGTGGCTTCCAGCAAAACAATAGACAGGCATATAGGGTAAACATTTATACCATGTAGGTACACTCCCTAGAACAATCAACCATGGGAGATCAGAAGGGCAGTATTTGCACAGGAAGATAGCTCAGAGGGCAGGAATGCTTGGGAAAGAAGGACATAGGGAAAAGGTAGCCCTAGGGAGGAAGCGGGAGGACAGCTGTTGCATTGTGGGGATTGCAGTCAATGTATGAAACACAATGTGTATGAACTGTTGCATAGGAAATGAATTTGCTCTATAAATTTTCATCCAAATCACAATAAAAAATTGTAAAAAAAGAGACCAGGCATACTGGTCTGATACAGACTAGTGGAAACCCCAGGATTAAGGCCCTTAGAGATCTTTCAAGCCTGGCACTGAACTCACCCCTGTGGCTCAACTTTCAGCCAAAGGATAGACAGACCTGTAAGGTAAAGAATAATACCAGGGAGGTATGCACTCCTTTGAGCAATGAACCATACGATATTGGAAGGGGAGCATTTGCCCAGGGATAAATCTCAGAAGGCAGGAATGGATAGGAAAGAAGGACAAAAGGAAATGGTAAACACAGGGAAGAAGTGGAAGGAGTGTTGTTACATTGTGGGGATTGCAAAGAACGTCACAAAACAAAATGTGTATGGATCATTGAATGGAAAACCAACTTGCTCTGTAAACTTCCACCCAAATCACAATTAAAAAATAAAATACATCCCTATGGATCACGATGACCAATTCCACTGTGCATGGGGTAGCCATGAGTCAGGGCTGACTCGACAGCAGCTAACAATATTGAAGGTTTACTATGGCAGCTATTTTTCACATACTTGATCTCTTTAAACTCCATGAGAAGCACATTAAAAAAAAAAAAAAAAGATAATATTTAGTACTTCTATAGTTTAACCATGTGCCAAACATTATTCTGAATATTTTATGCATCTATGCATACACATACTAATTTAATCCTCACATCAGCTTTATGAGATAGATACTATTATTCCTACTTTACAAATGAGGCATCTGAGAAACTATAGAGGTTAAGTAACTTTCTACTCTAAATACAAATACAAAGTATGTAAGTAGTAGAATTCAGAATTCAAACCTAGGCAGTTTGGCTCCAGAATTTGTGCTTTTTATGACTTTACAATGGTAATTAAGTCATAAGTATTTACAATAGTAAATAGTAGTTGTTGTTATGTGCTGTGGAGTCAGACCGGACTCATAGCAACCCCTCCTTGGGTTTCCAATACGGAAGTAGATTGCCCAACCTTCCTTCCGAGGAGTTTTACAAATAAGGAAAGTGAGTTTTAGAGAGGATGTGATTTTCCCAATGTCTCAGTGCTAGATGAAACAGTAGGATTTGAGCCAGACTCCCAAAACTTTCCTCTATACCACACTTCCTCCCAAGGAGTGAGAAGAAAATGCTCCCACTTTTGGGACTTCAGTTTCAAAAGGTTTTGGGAAAATTTTGGGGGAACTTAAGAGGGAAACAAACAGCTTTCTTATAGCCTTAATGAAGATGGTATGTTCTCAAGCATGTGGTCCATTGACCTGTTTAAGGCCAGGCACTGGAAGAGGGCTGTTTTTCCCATTGACATGTGTTATTTCTGAACTCGTCTAGGACTGACTCCTGTGTACTCATAGTGTACAACAGAATGAAATACTGCCTGGGTCTGCACCATCTTCACAATCGTTGCTATGCATGAGCCTGTTGTTGCAACCACTGTATCAATCCATCTCATTGAGGGCCTTTCTTCCTTTTTTCTCTGACCTTCTGCTTTTCCAAATATGGTGTCCTTCTCTAGACACTGGTCTTTCCTGACCTGTGCAAAGTCTCACCATCCTCCCTTCTAAGGAGCATTCTGGCTGTACTTCAAGACAAATTTGTTCGTTTTTCTGGCTGTTCATTATATATTTAATATTCTTCTCCAATACCATAATTCAAATGCATCAATTTTTCTTTGGCCTTCTTGATTCCAGCTCTCATATGCTTATGACGCAACTGAAAATACTATGGCTTGAGTCAGGCACACCTTATTCCTCAAAGTGATATCTTTGCTTTTTAACACTTTAAAGAAGACTTTTGCAGCAAATTTGCCCAATGCCATACGTCCCTTGATTTCTTGACTGCTGATACCATGGGCATTGATTCCATGGGCATTGATAGTGGTTTGGTTTCAGTCTTAGGAGTGCAAAGATAGCAGCGCTCCAGACCATAGTCTTCAGGGACATCAAGCTCAGTTGGCATAGCATACTACACAGGAACTTTGTTCCACATCCTACTTTGGCGAGTAGTGACTGGAATCATAGAGGCTTGTAAGCAGCCGTCTAGATGCAACGATGGGTCTCTTCTTGTCCAGAGCAAAGAAGAATGAAGAAAACCAAAGATTCATGGAAACAATTAATCCAAGTAACTGGTACACCATGAGATCCTCACCCTATACAATTATGAGATCAGAAAAATGAAATGGTGCCTGGCTACCACTGTCAGCCACTCGGAAGGGGATCTATATAGGAGATCCTGGATAAAGAGGGAGAACAATGTGGAACAAACCTTAAAATCATTTGGGAAAAAAAAGGGACTAGGTTTGCTGGTCTGATAGGGCCTGGGAACCGCTGAGATTATGGCCTTGAGCTGCCCTTCAGGTCTGGAATTGAACCCACACCTGTGGCTTCCAGCCAAACAACAGACAGGCATATGAATTGAACATTTACATTAGGCAGATACAATCCTTGGAGAGATCAATCATGGGGCTGTGTATGCGCAGGGAGACAGCTCAGGGGGCAGGGAGGGAAGGACACAGAGAAGAGGTAACTATGGGGAGGAAGTGGGAGGGGAGCTGTTGCATTGTGGGAAATTGCAGTCAGTGTCATGAGACAAAGTGTATGTGAGCTGCTGAATGGAAAGTGAATTTTCTCTGTAAACTTTCACTCAAATCACAATTAAAAAAAAAAGATAGCATAAAAGCATCCTTGACATGAATAGCTGTAACTATTTATTTTTGTGCTATTATTACAAAAGTCGTTTAAAGCTCAACTTTGAGGTCCTTTGCCTACACTGGGGACATGTGACATGTTTATCTTCCTTCATTCATGAGCACATGTGCTTCTTCAAGCTCACACTGAGAGAGGGAGTTGGTTCCTTTGTCAGGGGACTCAGACCCTATCATTCCCTTTTGTTGATCAGGGTGTTTACACAGTGAACCTAGAGTGCTGTGCAGGCTGTAGAATGGGTTCTGCTGCGAGAGTCACCCAGAACCCATGTGTCTCCCTTAATCTCTGACAGTAACCACTTCTTTTTTACAGCATGGAGGCTGCCAGCATTGGATTCGTCATTGTTATTGACAGACGAAGGGACAAGTGGAGCTCCATAAAGGCATCCTTGACACGAATAGCTGTAACTATTTATTTTTGTGCTGTTATTACAAAAGTCGTTTAAATTGTCTATTCAACTATTTTATATCAGATTCATGGGGAAATGAATGCACAGGGAAAAGGCAATTATTTTTTGTGACGTTTTGGAAGGTCTTTATAGCAGATACTGTGTTTCCCACTCATATCCCCTCTGTCACTTGAAGACCACCTGCAGACAATTCCTGAGCATATTGAAGTCTTCCTGAATCTCTCTACTTTACTATAAAGAGTCACTGAAGAGGGGCAGGCAGGAGATGCTGGAATGTCAATGCCCCTTTGAGTTCTGGGAATTGGTGGATAAATACCCCAGCTTGCGTGTTCTGCAAGGGGACCGTTCTGAGGTAAATTCCTCAGTAGCTCAGAGGGTCTCAGCCTCTCTTCCTGCAACAGTAATCCCTGTACTGATATATTAGCTCTCCAACCATTGCTGTCTCACCCCTCTACTCCCTCACTCTGCTTCCTACAATCACCCCCCCCCCAAATAAACTACTTGTACCCTAGAGTTTGCTTTGAGGGTAATCCAGTTTTAGACAGTCTTCAGTATTCAAATTATTTTCTCACAGTTTAGTAAGACGGTAATAAAAGCAGACCTAATTAGATGTAAGTAGATTGATTAAAGGTGTGCTTGCTTTTAGCATTAAAAAGTGAAAACTTGGATGGTTTTTCCTTTCCATTGTATTCCACTGATTTTGATCTCTGATAGCTGCCTTCTAACAGATAGATGCATCATTCCTCCATCTGGGGCTCAGACCTGTGAATTCAGCCTCATGGACAGGCAGAGCTGCCTCAGGACAGTCATACCTGCTGGGGCCGTTGGCAGTGGTTGAAGAGGATGGAATGGGATCGGATGGTAATGTGTGTGCAGGAGTTAAGGCAGGAGAGGGACATTTGAAGTCCCACTCATACTCACTTACAGAGGCAGTCAGACACATAGACGTGCACACATAGTTTTTCTCAGATGACTTTAGAGCCTCATCCTGGTACATAAATAATGTCTCAGCTCATTTATCTTGTTATGACAACAACATGCAAAAGCTTGTGTTTCAAAGATGGAAGAAGGGTGAACTCCTTTCCCTTTGGGCATGGATTGTTTTATTCCTTTGGCTTACTTGTGGTTAAAAGATTTATCTTTGGGCTAACTGCAACCATAGTTGATCTGCTGAAGCTTTAAACACTTGTCAGTGCCCATGACTATTCCAGAGTTCTGGCCTCTACAGAATTCTCATTTCTCAGGGTTCATGGATAATATCAGAATTATCTAACTCCTGAGTTTAATTCATCCCAGAATTATATTGAGTACTTTGTGGGTAAAAGATGCTGTAGTACAGGTGTATTTGCATGTGCTGTAAGAATGTCTAGATATGTAGTAGACCTGACAAGAGACAAAGTTGTGGTGACTTCTTGGCCACAGCCAGCTACCCAGAAGGAGTGAATACTTGGACCTGTGGGGACATGAAGCTCAATTGGTGTAACACACTACACAAAAACATTATTCTACATCCTACTTTGTTGAGTAGCAACTGGGATCTTAAAAGCTTGCAAGTGGCCATGTAGATGTAACAATGGGTCTCTCCTTGTCCAGAGCAAAGAAGAATGAAGAAAACCAAAGATGCATGGAAACAATTAGTCCAAGGAACTGGTATACCATGTGATCCTTAGCCTATATGACCATGCAATCAGAAGAACTAGATCGTTCCAGGCTACCACTGTCAACCACTCGCAGGGGGATCCATGAGTAGATCCTGCATAGAGTGGGAGAACAATGTGGAATGAAACTCAAAATTATTTAAAAAAAAAAAAGAAGAAGAAGAAGAAAGAAAAAAGACCAGTCTTGCTTGTCTGATAGAGCCCGGTGAGATCCCTGAGACTATGGCCCCTAGCTGCCCGTCAGGTCTGGAACTGAACTCACTCCCAAGGCTTCCAGCCAAATAATAGACAGGGCTGAACATTTGCATCAGGTAGATACACTACCTGGAGCGATCAATCATGGGAGAACAGAAGGGCAGTGTATGTACAGGGAGACAGCTCAGGAGGCAGAAGTGTATGAGAGGGAAGGACACAGAGAAGAGGTAACTATGAAGAGGAAGTAGGAAGAGAGCTGTTACATTTAGGGGAATAGTGGTCAATGTCATGAGACAAAATTTGTATGAACTTCTGTATGGAAAATGAATTTTCTCTGTAAACTTTTACCCAAATCACAATAAACATTTTTTTTTTTTTTTAAATGCTGTAGTACAGGGATCCTCAAATTTGGCTATCTGTCAGAATTCTCCATCCTTCAGGTGGTGGCAGCTTATTGAAAATAAAAATATTCAGACTTCATCTCACTCCTAAAGAATAAGAATCTTCTTGGGTGAGGGCTAGATTATTACTTTAACAAGAACCTCAGAAGGTGGCTTTTGAGAAACCACTGGAAGAATGGAAAGGCAAGTGGGGGACACTTGGGTTTCCTTCTTTGCCACTAAGTAGTTATATGGATCTAGGTTATCTCATTTCTCAGGACCTCAAAATGAGAGCAATTTTTCCTGAAAGCCAGTTGGCAATAATATGCATCAAGCACCCTTTAAATACTAAGTATGACTAGTAATTCTAAGACCCTATCTCAAGAAAATGTTCCAATATGTAGATAAATATATTAATTTCAGTGTTATTTATAATACAGGTAGTCCCTGATTTATGATGGGGTTCCATTCTGACAACTCAGTCATAAGTCAGTTTTGACATAAGTCAAATGCCTAATTTTTAAACAAGTTTTCATTATTACTGCCTTTTATTATCAGTTTCATGATAAATCTTATCCTTATCTTTGAGGGTTGGAAACATTGCATATAAACTTGCAGATATATTTCAATACACATAGCTCTGGTAGCATAGTGCCTAAGGCACTTGACTGCTAATCAGAAGGCTGGCAGTTCAAACCTACCAGCCACTCCTTGGAAGGAAGATGGGACAATCTACTTCTGTAGTGATACCACTAGAAACCCAAGGAGGGGCTGCTATGAGTCTGGTCCGACTCAACAGCACATAACAACAACAACATATAAATACACAAGTATAAAAATTTACTCCAATGATGAAGAAGAGTTGGAGGACATTGGCATTTTGTGAATTACGGTAGTACTTCCACTTGTGGAAGGTTCTGGATCATCTGGATTATATCTGAGAATGGAGATGGTGTTTCTAGTTAGAAAATTAGTGAGAGTTGTCTGTAAAGTCCTTTTATTTATTTGTTCATATATTGCATGGTAACATCTCACTACTTCCCAAATCTGCCTATGTATTTAGCAAAGCAGTCAGCATTTGGGTCCATGTTTCCAAGCAACTGAAGCCCTTGATTTAGTTTAGAAAACTAAATTTATACTGCAGTGATTTAAACAAAAAGTCATAAAATTGAACATATGAGAATGAACATCTGAGAATGATAACATCAGCAGATTATGTACTGCAACATTGTATGTAGTGCATATTACTGACGATAAGAGTACCAAAACACCCCAAAAAATAATGGATGGTCATAAATGCAGTTTGTCGCAACTCAAATATGTCATAAGTCAGGGACTAGCTGTACTAAAAATATGAAAAAGCATATATTAACACTAATAAGGAATTGGTTAAAGAAATTGTGCATCCGTGAAGAATACTATTTCCAAAGAATTTTACTAACATGAATAAAAGCTCATGCTGCAATATTAAGTGAAAGGGCAAGTTATAAAATATTTCTATAGCATTGTCTAACTATGAAATAGCCTAGAAGTAAATAAATTGCACTTTTAAATATGATGATGAGATCACAAGTAGTTTTCTTTTTCAAATACATGCTTTTATCAATTTTCCAATTTTTCTGTAAAGAGTATGAATTATTTTTAAAATCAGAAAAAAAACCCAATATTTCTTATTTGCTTGTTTGATTTGATTTTTAAGGGTAAGTTTAGATAATCTGACCTCTAAAGTCTCTTCCAGCTCTGTTATCCTGTGACATCTATTCTAATTTTTGCCATCAATGTCACCCACTTTAAATCTGTCATCTGTAATCTTGGGCAAGAAGAGACCAAAGTAGATCTTGGCAATAGATGTGACATTTTCTCTCTCTCCTGGCCCTTTTTATGATCCTTCCAGGTATCATTTCCGGGAAACTTGCAGCTCATCTTCATCCTTCGTCCATCTCGCTTTATCCAGAGGACCCTCACAGACATCGGCATTAAATATTATCGAGATGAATTTAAAATGAAAGTGCCGGTAAGCATGACCTTTCATCTTCTCTTCATTGGGATAGAGTCCTGTCTCCTTTCTCTCTCCCTCTCTCCACCTTTCCCTCTCTCTTCCCTCTCCTCCTCACAATCTCCATGCCCTCCTCCCTTCCTTCTACTTTTCAATCAACTAACAACTATTTATTCTACCTCTGTCATGTACATAGCAGCATGCTAACTGTGGTGGGTCATACATGGTCCTGTTATAAAATACATCTCCCTAGAACCTAGAAGAAGTACTTTGTACAAATATACACACACTGCACTATATTTTTATTATGGAAAGTTAAAAACAATTGAAATATCAAGGCATATACAAAAATATACAAAGTAACAGACCCTATATACCCAGCACCCAGCTTCAACCACTTTCAACTCAAGGTCAGTCTTGTTTCATCTTATCCACAATCTCCATCTCTCAGGTCATATTAAAGCAAATGCCAGGCTTCAATTTCCAATTGAGATATTTATTATGACTTACTAATTCATATTTTAATAATAAATACCCCACAAGGAATATTTATTTTATTAATAATTATTTCATTGATGATTTATTGATGATTAATTTAAATATTTTACTGATTATCCAAGAATAATTAATTGTTAATAATGATTCCATGATATTGTAAAATATAGTTAAGTTCAGATTTTAAGCAACTTATTAACAAAATTTTAAATAATTTATTTGAATTAAGATGGAAATAAGTTTCATAGATTACAGTCTGTTGATTTGTCTCATGTTTGCTGCCATTGAATTGGTCCTGACTCATAGTGACCCTGTGCACAACAGAATGAAACATTGCCAGGTCCTGCACCATCCTCACAATCGTCGACATGCTTTAGCCCATCATCACAACCACTGTGTCAGTCTGTCTCATTGAGGGTCTTCTCCTTTTTCTCTGACCCTCTTCTTTACTCAAACATGAAACCCTTTTCTGACAACATGACCAAAGTACAAGAGGTGAAGTCTGGCCCTTCTCACTTCTATGGAATATTCTGGCTGTACTTCCTCCAAGACAGATTAATTCATTTTTCAAGCAGCCCATAGTCCATTCAGAATTCTTCGCCAACACTACAATTCAAATGCATCAATTCTTCTTCAGTCTGCCTTATCACTGAACAGCTTTAATATGTATATGAGGCGATTGAAAATACCAGTGGCTGGATCAGGGACACCTTAGTCTTTCAATGTGGCATCTTTGCTCTTTAATATCTTTTGCAGCAGATTTGCCTAATGCAATATGTGTTTTGATTTCTTGACTGCTGCTTCCATGGAAGTTGTGGATCCAAGTGAAATGAAATCCTTGGTAACTTCAGTCTTTTCTCCATTTATTGTGCTGTTGCTTATTGGTCCTGTTGTGAGGATTTTTGTTTTATATATATTGAGATGTAATCCGTACTGAAGGCTTTAGTCTTTGATCTTTATCGGTGAGTGCTTCAAGTGTTCTTCACTTTCAGCAAGAAAGGTTCTGTTATCTGCCTGTCACAGGTTATTAATGAGTTTTTCTTCAATCCTGATGCCATGTTCTTTTTCATACAGTCCAGCTTCTCAGATTATTTGCTCAGCAAATAGATTGAATGTGTATGGTGAAAGGATACAACTCTGATGCACATCTTTCCTGATTTTAAACCATGCAGTATCTTCTTGTTCTGTTCAAATGACTGCCTCTTGGTTTATGTACAGGTTCCTCATAATCACAATTAAGTGTGCTGGAATTCCCATTCTTTGCAATGTTATCCATAATTTGTTATGATCCATAACCACACAATGCAATCTTCAACAATAACTATGAATCTGCAGTACACCTCATAACAGGAACGATCTAGAGGACATTGTGCTGAGTGATATTGTTGTTGTTATGTGCCGTCGAGTCAGCCCTGACTCATAGCGACCCCTCCTTGGGTTTCCGAGGCAGTATCACTACGGAAGTAGGATTGCCCAACCTTCCTTCAATCACAAAAGGACAAATATTGTATGAAACCAGTACTGTAAAAAGTCAAGAAAAGGTTTACACCAGAAAGAATCATTCTTTGAAGGTTACCAGAGGTAGGAGGGGGGAAAAGGATGAATTACTAACTAGAAGTAGAAACCTATTAACTTGAGTATAGAGAAAGACAGCAATACACAATAAAGGGATGGTCAGCCCAAAATGATCAAGGCAGAGGAAGACGCTGAGAGGAGCGTAAGAGTTAAAGGCAACAAAGGTAAATACTGTTACATACACAATCCTGCAATAACAGTAAAACAGTAATCTGTGAATGGATACATAGATAAGACACCCAAGCTGAACAGGGGTAGGAAAGTGAATGGGACTTCACCCACAAGTATATATAGGTTTGACAGAGTATATTTCTACGTATGTATTTATATGTGCTGTAAATATATCCATGAATATAGTAGAACAAATGAGGGCAAAGTTATGAAAAGTTCTTAGTCATAACCAAACACCTTCAGGAAATGAGTCACTGGGCATAGGGGTCAGGACCATAGTCTTGGGGGACACTAAGGTCAATTGGCATAACATAATACACAAAGCAGTGTTCTACATTCTACCTAGGTGAGTAGTGACTGTGGCCTTAAATGCTTGTAAGGTGCAACTATTGGTCTTTCCCCATCTGAAGCAAAGAAGACTAAAGAAACAATTGGTCCAAAGACAAATGGACCAAATGAACCCCAGCCTCCATGACCCTGAGACCACAAAAACTAGATGGTGCCTGGCTACTGCTGCTGACCTCTGTAAAAGATATCACAATAGGATGCCCTGGATAGAGTGGGAGAAAAATGTAGAACAAAACTCAAAATCATAAAAAAGCCAGGCTTACTGGTCTAATAGAGACTGGTTGAATCCCAAGAGTGTGGCCCTTAGACACCCTTCAAGCCTGGAACTGAACTCACCTTCGTGGCTCAACTTTAAGCCAAATGATAGGCCTCTAAGGTGAACAGTATAGGTCGGTGAGTCAGAATTGACTTGATGGAAGTAGGTTTGTTTCTTTTTGTTTTTTACAGTGAACAATAAATAATACCAGGAAGGGATGTACTCATTAGAACAACCAACAATATTAGATTAAAAGGGCAGCATTGGCTGAGGGATAAAGCTAAGAAGGCAGGAAGGGATAGGAAAGAAAGACAACGGAAAACAGCAAACACAGGGAGAAAGTGGGAGGAGTGCTGTTACATTGTGAGGATTGTAATGAATTGTTGAATGGTAAACCGATTTTCTCTGTAAAGTTTCACCCAAATCACAATAAAAAATTTAAAAAAGAAAAAAAGAAGAAAGAATGGAAAAGGGAACTATAAGTTAAAAGGGACCTATGAGACATATCAAGGAGCTCTGGTGGTGCAATAGCTAAGGTATTTGGCTTCTAACCAGAAGGTTGGCAGTTCAAACCCTCCAACAGCTCTGTCAGAGAGAGATGAGGCAGTCTGCTGCTGTAAATATTTACAGCCTTGGAAACCATACAAGGCAGTTCTACTCTGTGCTATAGGGTTGCTATGAGTCAGAATCAACTCAGCAGCGGTTGGTTTGGTTTTGAGACATATTACTCATCTGTCATCTTGTCATACTGTGGTGGCTCGTGTGTTGCTATGATGCTGGAAGCTGTGCCACTGTTATTTCATGGTGAACAGGTTTCAGCAGAGCGTCCAGACTAAGACAGCTTAAGAAGAAGGATGTGGCTAGGATCACTTCTGAAAAAATTGGTCACTGAAAACTTTATGAGTAGCAAGAAAACACTATCTGATACAGTGCTGGAAGATGAGCCCCTCAGGTTGGAAGGCACTCAAAAATGACTGGGGAAGAGCAGCCTCCTCAGAGGAGGGTTAAACTTAATGATGTGGATGGAGTAAAGCTTTCAGGACCTTCAGTTGCTGATGTGGCAACTCAAAATGAGAAGAACAGCTGCAAACATCCATTAATAATCAGAACATGGAATGTACGAAGTATAAATCTAGAAAAATTGTAAGTTACCAAATTTGAAATGGAACACATAAAGATTGATATCTGCAGTAGTTAAGATTATGTATCAACTTGGCTGGGCCTCGTTTTGAGTGGCTGGGCAGCTGGATGTAGTTATTCCCTATGGTGAGATTGATAATTAACTCTGTGGTGGAATCTACTGGAGCAGCTGAATAGCTGCCTTAGGGATGTGGTCTGCTTCCAATATAGAAGGAGAAGCATTGAGAAAGGTCTATAGCTTTTGACATGCTTGAATCCTGCATGTACCCAAGTCATTATTCAGCAGCTTGCCGTGTTGTCTGCCGATCTTGGGACTCTTAATGGACTTGAATCAATGGCCTTCCACGTGGTTTGGTAATACTGGGACTGTGCCTTTTTACTTGTTGACCTTGGGTTTGTCAGCCTCAGCAGCCAGCAGCTGCCTGAGTGAAAAAGCCTCCAGCTTCAGTGGCCTGGGAGCAAGAGGCAGAGCTGAGGCCCAAGGTTGAGGGGCTTTACCCAGTCCCTAGTGCCTGGCACTTTGAACTCAGACCTCTAGCCTCCAAAACTGTAAGAGAATAAACTCCTATTTATTAAAGCCATTCCACTTGTGGTATTTCTGTTAGAGTGGCATGAAGTAACCAAAACAATATCCTTGTTGTTGTTAAGTGCCATCGAGTCACTGCCGACTCATAGAGACCCCATGCACAGCAGAATGAAACACCACCCAATACTGCACCAGCTCCATGATCCTTACTATACTTGAGCCCATTGTCCTAGGCATTAGTGAACTGAAATGAACTGGTATTGGCCATTTTGAATTGAACAATCATATGGTCTACTATGCTTGGAATAACAAATCAAATAGGAATGACATTGTATTTATCAACAAGAACATTTCAAGATCAATCCTGAAGTACAGTTCTGTCAGTAATAGTAATACTCATATACCTAATATGACTATTCATCACTTTTACCTACCAACAACCAAAGCCAAAGATGAAGAAATTGAAAAATGTTACCAACTTCTGTAGTGTGAAATTGACCAAACAGG